AATCACATATAGATTGTATTTATCCAGAGGATCCTTTTTGGCCTGACCAACCCTCAGAGCCTATAATATCGTAAGTTCCATAAAATGTATATATGCTAGATTCAGAAAAAGTTTCAACTATTTTCCACCTGCCTTCATATAAATGGAAATGGAGACTTCTGCTGCCAACACTTAAAATTATTTTAATATGATCTGCCAACATGAAAAAGCTCATGATAAGGACTCAGCTTAATCTGCATATATCTGCCAAATTTATTATTTATTGCATTTCTGTCCCTATGATTGTGTCTCTCTAGTTTTCTTTAAAAGTAAGGTGATTGTTTAATTAAGGGATGATCATTTCCTAATGTGAGTTATTGACGCATGATATAATTTTTATCAACACTTGATGTACCTAACCATATACACAAGAACTAAAAGGTGACTGGGTTAAATGGAAACATCAATTTGATTAAGTGATGGGATTTCTTGCTAATTTTTTGTAATAAGGCAAATATATATATATTTTTTTCTTTTAAAAACTCTGTGACTGGAAAAATACTCATAAATTTATCATCTTAATATGTATTATTTTCTGAGAAACATTTTGCTATGGTGGTAGTGAATAATAAATAGCAGATGACAATGGCACTTTTATATCTGCCATCTCATTTCATCAGTGCAAAATTAGCAGCCACAATGGAACCACCATCTAGGAGGTGTTTTAAACAGCATTGGTTAAATTTCTTCTGGAATTTGACACACACATGTTAAAAGAGAAGATGTGGAGAGGATGGTCCATTTATAAGGAAATAAAGTTAAGTGTCTCAGTTTGGCCACAAACATCAGTCCTTGAGGACATGTATTGCATTCCCAGGAGGGAAAGGTGCCACTTATATGTATCTTCCAAAGTGTTCTCATGTCAGATATTATTCACCCTTGGCACTCTGGCTTCTCCCCTTCAACCCTACCCCAACCCTTTATGTTACCTTGGATCATCTCCAGCTTTCTCCTTAAAACCGTCACTGAAACCACGGGAAGGGCCCAGTGAAATCATCCATCGTGCAGTCACATAAGCGGCCTGGAAGAGATGAGGTGCGTCTGCACCTACGTGCCTCTGCAAGCCATTCCTCCTTCGGGGCTCAGCTTAGGGTGTGTTTGGAGCAATAAATCCTTTTTAAATTGCCATTGAAAATCCTCAAGTATTCTAGGCAGGCCAAACTAACCAGGCCCTCCCTTGCATGAGGCCTCAAATGAGCCTTTGTTCCTCCCTCAAATTCTAGTGTTACTTAGAGTTAGCTGTTTCCCTACCTGCTTCCCCTCACCAGATTGCCAGCTTCTTCTGAACAGGGCTGCTCATTCTCTGTCCCGTAACCCTGCATCTAGCACAGTACTGAGAAGACAGTAAGCCTTTAGTAAGTATCTGTTGTATCAATGAATAAGTACAGTGGGAAAAGTGTAGGTTTGGAGTTGAGCATATCTGGAGTCCAATCCTGGCTTTACTGTGTGATTTTGGGTGAGTTTCTCAACTTTCTGAGCCTTAGTTTCCTAAAAGAGGGTTACAGTAGCCAGTTCACAAGAAGGCAGGAGACTGACATTAGGTAACGTGTGAAAAATGTATTGTAGACTGTAAGTGCTCTCTGGTTGTTAGTACATTTAACATAACAGATCTTTGCTGTGTATCAACTATGCACCCGTCAGACTGTGCTAGTTGCTGTCTAGATGAAGATAGACAAGTTTTTCTTCTCAAGATACGAGTAATCCAATGTTGTGATTTTTTTCCAAGTTATTTTGTTTTTTGGGGACTATCAGACTTACACTTAGGTAGATCAGTCATTAAATGTATTGATTCATTTCTAACCCCTGTTTCTTTGGGTGGGTTCCTTCACCCTGTGTATGAGAGAGTGCCCAGTTCCACATTGCTCCTGTTCTTCATGGTACACTGCAGCAGTTTTACAAACTCTTTATTCTCCGCGGCATTGCTGGTACTCAAGAATATTTCAGAATTGTGAAAGTGATGATTACATCCCACCAGAATAAGAATCAGGAAAGCCTTCCGTCCTAAAAATGAATGTAGCATACTTTGTTTTTATAATCGAATAACTATTCTTTCTGAGTAGAGGCAGCTAATTGAAGTCAACCACAGGGAGAGTAAATTCAGATGTTTTCTGGGACACTTAAAATTATGTTCAGTGGGACTCTGTCCTCTCTGCTAGAAGTGAGCTCACTAGAAAACTTAAAAGATTTGCTAGGATAATGAACTCCTTTCCATTCTTTAAGCCCACCTTAAGCAAGAGAGGGAAGGAAACTGGTACCTTGAAGAGGGTCCCCAGTGTTAGTTCATGATTGCTTATGTTAATGGTATGACAGGAAATCCCAGCAAATGGATAAATAAAATGCTAAATATATTTAGCATCAATTTTAAAATACATAGTTAATGTTTGACAATGTTAGGGTAAAAAAAGTCCCAATGAATATTGCACGTTAAATGGTAGGAAGGGGCGTGTGTATGTGTGTGTGTGTGTGGTACGTGGTGTGGGGTGTATGTGCACGCATGGGTGTGTAAAAGCATACAGTATGTATAGATTCACAATTTCTAAGCCCAAAAGGGAAAACACTTCTAACTAGTAAGCCTTGGCTCTAAATGTTTTTAAATTAAGTGCTGGTGAAAAATGAGTGATCACATGTGCTGTGGATCCACAGTGACTCCCTTTTCTTTAACTAGCACAGAAGTTGGTTTGATTTTTTTTTTAATCAGATATTTTAGGTTCCCCACTGTCATTGTCAGTATAGTGGTGAGCATCCCTAACTGTCAGATATTTCAGGTTCCTGCTGTGAACAAAACATTATGCCAGTGGTGAGACAACTAGACCCTTGACTTTTAGGTGTGTAAAGATTTTCAGTAATCCCCCAATCTAGGCAGTTTCATCTCACTTAAAAGTAACATGAATCTTTTCAACTTTCACTAAATGTTGAACCTCTCAAGCTTAGTCCTAGGCCCGATTCTCTTCCCATCCTCTTTTGAGGTTTCGATTACCATCTAAATGCCTCTGTCTCCCAAATGTGTATCTCTAGCCCACACTTCTGATTTAAGCTCTAGGCTTATATCCCACATTAAATCTCCACTTGAGTATAGATCGTACCCCAAATACAGCATTTCTAACTAATCATAGGCATGCCATCTCATGAAGTGACCACCATCCGTCCAATTCCATGACACTTCCATCCCCTTCATTCTCTATGTCTAGTCCACCACCCTAGTCTGAGTCACCATGATCTCCTGCTTGGATGTCTATAATAGACCTCTCATTGGTACCCCCTCTTTCCCTCTGGCTCTTCTCCAATACCCTCATTTTTCAAAATGTGAATCTTCTCAGGTCACCCCCTTTACATAAGACCATCCAACAATTTCCCATTGCTCTCAACAAAAATCCAGAATCTTCAGTGAGGCCTCCGAGATCTGCATGGCTCCTTTGGCTGAAGTTATCCCTGCCACAGAGCCTGGTGTAATCCTCACCTGACTTCTTCAAATGATTAACTTCCAGCTGCTTTTTAGACCTTACCTCAAAAGAAACTTCCACAGGAAAGCCTCCCCTACCCCTTAAACTGTCATGGTTCCATGTACCTGTCCATCCTAGCATTTAGCACAACTTGCAGCTATACCTTTACTTGTAGGATTATTGATCATGTCCACGCCCCACAGGACTATGGCACAGAAGAACAAGGACTGTGTCTGTTTCACTTCCTGACTGATGGCTGGAGGGGGGGAGGGGCTTTATCTTGAAGGACCTCCTAAGCCAAGTTAAGCTATTTGGAATTTATCCTAAGAACAATAGGAGGCATTTGAGGGATTTTAAGCAGAGGAACAATGTGTTTAGATGTACATTCTGGGAGAATCACCTTGGGTGAGGTATTGAGGAATCCAGATAAATAGTCCCAAAACATAGACATTAAGCAGAGTCACAGTGCTGCAGGTCGTTGCCGTTCTTTCTCTAATCCACTTTTTCTATCCCTCCTCTCTAAATCCAATGACAAGGGTTACCCATTTACCTTCTCAGGCAAATGCTTGATGGTCATCGTTTTATTCATTTGGACAATATTGAGTTCCTTACGTGCTTGACACTAGGAGTAATAATGTGAGACATGGTCCCAGACGCAGATGTGTATCTCTAGCCCACATCTCCCGCTGTAGTCAGAGACACTGCCCAATAAACAGGGAGTGTGGAAGGTGCTCCAGTGGGAATTTGAATGGAGTTCTAGAACTCAGAGGAGTTTATAACTAAAACACTTCTCTAGCAGAGCTAGAGAATGCCTCATAGAAGGGCTGGCCTTTGAACTGATAGGAATGCTAGAGTTTTGTGAGGTAGAGACAGATGAGGGCATTGTAAGTGGTGGGACAAATGTGCAAAGGCCCAGATCTGTGAAAGGGCGTGGCCTGTTGAGGAATGGCTTTATCCCTCGATGCGTGGGGATGGGGGTGAGGAAGGTCGTAGGAAGATGGGAAGAGAGAGCTGTGTCGGGGTCGTATTGTAAAGGCTCTGGTGTCCTTAACTCAGGAGTATGAATCTCTTACTGTGGGCCACCGGAAGGCACTGGCCCATTCTCAATGTCTCTGAATTAAAAAACAGTATGTGTGGGAATAATTTAAATTAAAGATCAAATGATTTAATGAATGTGATGCACACCATCTAGGGGATGGACATACTTGAAGCTCTGACTGGAGTGGGGGGCAAGGGCAACGTAACCTAAATATTTGTACCCCCATAATATGCAGAAACAAAAAAAAAGATCAAATGATTTATTAGGGAAGCAGTGACTAAGCCAATGGGAGTAATGTTCGTCTTAACCCAAGAAATGTGAGAAGGATTATGGCCCTGTGGGAGGTAAACTGAGATGTGGGCCTCGGAGGGAAGAGAGGGCCTTGTTCCCAGTGAGCTGGCCCAGGTCTGACCGAGGAGTGAGCCTGGCCACACCGTTGTGCAGGCACTGCCATGACAACTGTCTGGATTTTTGTTTTGTAGTTCCATGGAAAATGGGAGACCACCTGATCCTGCAGACTGGGCTGTGATGGATGTCGTCAATTATTTCCGGACAGCGGGATTTGAGGAGCAAGCTAGTGCTTTTCAGGAACAGGTAACTCAGTCTGGGGAAACATCATGGACACAATCATGTCTCTTCCTCATAGTGGGCAGAAAGGAGTGAGGAGGAAAAGGACCAAGGAGCAGTGAGAGACCATGAGGCTCTAAGACACCAAGGTGAAAGTGACAGGCTAATGATTCCTTCCTGCAAGAGGAAAACCCAAGGCCTGAGACGCAGTGGCAGCTGCAGAGAGGATGGCCGAAGCTCCTTTACCTCAGCCTCTTTGGAAAGACTGATCGTGTTTGGGGCAGGTGGGTGGGGGAAGTGGATCCACCCTGCCTTCAATGCAAACACACCAGAAAGCAGAAAGCAGGAAAGAAAGAAAAAGGAAGGACAAATCTGACTAAGAGACACACACCTTCTACTACTGGCCTCAGCACCCACTAAACTATTAAGCCCCCTGCGACTTGCTTTCCAAGTACTTTGCAAGGTAGAGTGGAAAGAACACAGGATTTAGAGTCAAATCCTGGTTCTTCTATCTCTAGGCAAGTTACTGTGTCTCTCTGGATCTTGGTTTCACACCTATAGCACGAGGCTATCAGTACCTAACTGTATAGGAATGTTGTGTGAAGATTAAAGGGCAGTATATGCAGAGTGCCAGGATAGGTCGTGATGTTATCAGGACCTGACAATATCAATACTGATGTTCTAAAATTGTTAATTCCCTGCCCTCAGGTCCAGGGTTGGTATCAGAAAGAGGGCAGGAGAAGCAGGGTCTCTCCCAATCATCTGGGTGATCCGTGACTCCATTTTGCAGGCTGGGCCAGGTCTGCAGGGAAACACAAAGTTCCTTTTTCTCAGTCAGTGAAGGCTACAGCTTTCTAAACATTACATTTACCTTTCTAATACTATAATATAGTTGGGAGAATTAGAAACTGAGGAATACATTTGGCTGCCTGTTCCACATCCCCTCAACTATTGCTTATTCCCTCAAGCTGTTGATTGTATGGCCTGAGTTTGGATAAGGTACACTTTTCTAATGTCACGTCTGCCAATCTCTAGACTTCTTTCAAATAGTATTTCCTTCAGACTTGATCCTTGTACATACGTATTTTTTTCTAGTTTGGAAAATTTGCCAAAATAGCAGCTTAAATCACTTCACACCCATCAGAAGAGCTAACATTAGAAACACTGATAACACCAAATGTTCATGAGAATATGGAGCAACTGGAACTCTCTTCCACTATTGATGGGAATGTAGAATAAATATTCACACATCTACCCCATAATCTAGCAATTTCACTCCTGGGTACTTACCCAGGGTTAATGAAAACATATGTCCATAAAAAAGATTTGTACAAAATTGTTCTCAGTAGCTTTTGTCATAATGGTCAAAAATTGGAAGGCTAGGTGTACATCGATAGCAGAATGAATATGTAAGCTGTGGTATATTTACACAATGGAATACTCCACAGTGATCAAAAGGAATGAACTACTAATCTACACAACAGTTTGGATGAGCCTCAGAAACATTATGCTGAGTGAGAAAAGCCTTACACAACTGAATGGTTCCATTTAGATAAAGTTTCAGAACAGGAAAATGAATCAATGGTAGAAAACAATTAGAAAAGAGTGGTTGCCTCTGGCTAGGTAGGGGTGGAGAATGACTAAGAAGGGGTATGAGGGAAATTTCTGGGTGATGGTAGCATTCTCTGTCTTGATAAGGCCTATGCAAATGATTTAGATTTGTGCGTTATATAGCATATAAATTTTACCTCAAAAAGAAAAGAACTATAAAAAAATATTAAACAATGATATGCAAACAGAAGTACTGGGTGGGGAGTATACTGATGAACACAACTTCCTTTGAAATACATCAAAAATTATGAATTGACAATTAAGTAGAGCGATGACTAGATGGAAAGATATATGATAAAGTAAGTATAGAAAATGTTGACTATAGAACCTAGGTGGTAGGAATATGGGTGTTCACTATAAAACTCTGACAACTTTATGTTTGAAAATTTTTATAGTAAAATCGTGGTAGAAAATAACAGCTCAGGTTAGAAAGTAGAAGGCAGTTGATCAGCTGAAACATATTTTATTTTGGTTTTTAATGGTATAATGTCCATTTGTGTCATTGCAGTTACAGTTTAATTCTAAAATTAAATTTAAACAATATTGTAAAAGGTTAACAAAAAAAGTACTTAGCTAAAAGGTCTCTTGGCCAGATTCCCAGCTGGCCAAAAGCCCTTTTGATGTTAAGCTTTTGCTCAGACTCCTCGAGGCAGACATCCCAGGTTGGTGGGGGAATGGGGGTACAGTGCTCTCTGGGCCTTCCAGATTCTAGGTAGGACCTCAGAAATGGGACTGGCCATCTCTGAGCTTAGCCCAGGAGCAAGCCCTATCTCCACGGATGACCTCATTCTGGCACCAGCGACACTGGAAAGCAAAAGGGAACAAACTCTCCTAAAGAGTTTCATTCAAAAATCCTTCAAGGGAGAAATGAGCATCATCTTGCTACTGCGTTGAGCCTGCCAACCTGGGAGCCTGAGAAATGAATTCTCAGAGGACTGGAGTTTTGCAAGCATGGTCCAGAAGCTCGAGTTCCTTCATTCTCATGGAAGGGTGACTGGCTGGGGGGGAGTCTGCCTTGAATTATTATCTGGCAATGATCCAAATCTTTCTTCTGCTCTGAAATTCTTGTTTTTCTTCTTCCCATTAACGGAGGTGGAGGGCAGGGAGGGAATCACTGGCCGGGCTGAAGCTGGCAAGACAAGTAGCCACTGTGATTTTCTTGAGAACTGAGGATTGGATCCTCTGGCATGTTAACCCGCCTCTTTCCATCAACCTGCTGCAGAGGTCATCAGCATTTCACCTCATTCCTGGCAATGAACCTCAAGCAGTCAGCACTCACTCACCAAGTACATCCTGACGGGAAGACTACAGGCTACCTCCAGCCCAACATGCAGCCCTTCCGGGCACATCTTTAGGTCACAGCAGCTGAGAAACAATAGAACAGCTGCATCCATAAGTCTCCTTTGGGAAGGCTTTTCCCTGCCATTTGATGGAAGCAGGGCAGGGATGGAGAGTATCCCCTAAACCACTTTGGAGAAGGGCAGGTCCAGAAAGGGCAGCAGGGTTACCAGTGACGTGGGGAGCTTCTCATTTCATGGCTGACTATTGTGAGCTGAATGTTTGTGTTCCCCCAAAACTCATATGCTGAAAACCTAACCCCCAATGTGAGGACATTATTAATAGGAAGTAGGGCCTTTGGGATATAATTAGGTTAAGATGGGGTCATGGGGGTAGAGACCCCACAATGGGATTAGTGTCCTTATAAGATGAGGAAGAGACACCCAGGAGCTCGATCTCCCAGAATACAGCAAGAAGGTGGCCTTTTGCAAGCCAGGAAGAGAGCCCCCACCAAGACCTAACCATCCTGACACCTGATCTTGGACTTTCAGCCTTCAGAACTGTGGGGAATAAATTCTGTTGTTTATGCCACCCAGTCTATGGTATCTTGTTATTGCAGCCCAAGCTGAATAAGTTACTGATATTGATGCCAAACATGTCCACCATTGGATGGGCTGACTTTCAAGAGAGTATCTGTCTTCGTGTTATGGACTCACAGTGCATTACTGGATACTGTGTTGCTGTAGCAACCAGACTCAGATGTGGCTTTGTAGCAGCATGCCCCCTTGGAAAATGTCAAGCCATTGAGCAAGATTTGTCCAAGGGCGGAATGGTGTGTTGTGTTCCTGTGGCATGGTGAGGCAGCCAGATTAAGCTGGTGACCTTTGCCTAACCTCCTTTTCCCTGTGTTGGCAACCTGCTGCCACTTAACAGTTATCTTCATCAAATTTTCTTCTGGTAACCTCTTTTGAGCTTTCTGTGTTAGCCACAATTACAAACCAAAAAAACTCTTGATGGAAGGCCTGAATCCCTGCCTAGCCCACCACCAATGAGCCAGTGTCAATAGTATGTGTGTCTTGGGCTATACTGCTGTTCTGGCCAGTCCCCATTTACAGTCAGTGGTGTTGCGGCCCCTCGGCTTGGCTTGTGGTTTGTGTTGTCATGGCTGCAGCTGTCACCATTTGGGGAGTCTGTCCCACTGGACTCATTAACCCAGTGCTCCCAAGGGTTCACTGGCCCCTCAGAGCAGGAGGCACTGGGAGACCTTCACAGAGAAGGCAGTGATTATAGCACCGTTGGTGCCATCTCTCTTTCCCACAGACACCATAGGGTGGTGGCTATTTTCCCAGATGCCTTCTAGCAGACAAACTTTTCAAGCTGTGGTGTAGGGCATGAGTGGGAGAAACAACTCCTGATTTATTTTCTACTAATTGAGTCAAGGCCACTGGATGATCCTGCAAAATTTGCCTTTCTAGGACTTCTAAAGGACTTTCTAGAATTTCTATAAAGTGAATGTTGAGTTAAACAGAATATTGCTCAAGTTCTGCTTTAAGAGTCAAAAGGTATAATGTTGGAACTACTGGTCTTTATGAAGTATGCTTTCAGTGCACAACATAGAGCACAAAACCACTTGAGACACAGTTGGGTTTTTTTGAATAGATGATAAAAAATTGTCACTTTCCCATGGATATGGATTGCCTGGTTTTCAAGAGTCAAAGGTACCTCAGGAACTGTACTTTTCTAAGAGCTTTGGTTTTTAAGAGAGACGATTTTGACTAATCTCATTCAAAAGCATCTCTACCTTTCTCACAGAGAACAGAGGCTAAGGTTTACTTTGTCAAACTCCGAATGCTAAATGAGCAACATTCTCTGGTATAAAGCCACCTCTATAAACAGTGCTTTTAGCTGTCAGTTCAGGAACTCTGATGGTCTAGTACAGTAACCACCACTCAAATTGGACCCTAATTTCAAGTCACAAAGACAGTTCTGCATGTTGTGTTGTAGTCACTTCATTTCTGTGTCTTTATCTATTTGACTCACGTTCTCATAATATATATGAAGAAGATGGAAGACAGATCTGCCATTCAATCAATATCACATAGTCCATATTTTTCAGATTTCTCAAACTTATGAGTGAA